ACCCTAACCAAGTAGTCTGCATATACCAACATGGCTCAGACTACAAGTTAGTGACTTCAAGCACTGATGCCACGTTTTGGTTTGGCCGCCCCTAACTTTCTTACAACCATCTCCAACACCGGTTAGCGTTGCACGTCGTGGTAGTCGGTGTTCAGGCATACGTAACACGTGGCCCAACCATCTCAGTCGATGAAGATTCATAACCTCATCAACTGATTTACCATCATTACCTAATACCCTGCGTTTAACCTCACTATTACTTACCCGGTGATCCCAGCAATATTTCTGAGGCATCTGTGGTCAAATACTTATAGCTTACGAGTGTCTTCTACTCTTAATGGCCATGTTTCGCAGCCGTAAACTAAAACAGAACGGACTGCCGCGCAGTATCCTCGTCCTTTTATCGATAGACGGATATCTCGCCTTCGCCATAGGTGAGGTAAGTTGGCAAAAGCGAAGCGAGCTTTTCGAATCCGTGCTGAGATTTCGTCAGACACCAACCCATTAGGGCTGATCAGACTTCCAAGATAAGTGAAGTTGTCGACGCGTTCGACTACTTCACTCCCTATCCTTAGTTCAGGTGTTGACGCAGACCAGTCCTGAAGCAACAACTTGCATTTAGAGGGAGAGAAGCGCATTCCAAACATCCTGGCATTGTTGCTTAGTGCTAGCAAAAGACTGCATTCTATCAGCGTCTTCACCAAACAGGACTATGTCATCCGCGTATTCTAAATCGATAAGTGGACCTCCTGGATGGAGATCAATACCCGAGAACTCAGTCGACGAGAAAGTTATTTCCATCAGTAGATCTATGATGAAGTTAAACAAAAATGGGGAAAGTGGACAGCCTTGACGGACACCACTTGAGGTTGCAAAAGTAGATGACAGTTCGCCATAAGCTCTGACTCGACTAGTAGTGTTCGAGTAAAGAGCCTTCACAAGGTTTATGTACTTCTGTGGTACGCCTTTCAATGATAGACACTGCCACAGAATCTCGCGGTCTACCGAGTCAAATGCTGCTTTTAAGTCGAGAAAGACCACCATTGTCGGACGCCCATAAGTATGCCTGTGTTCTAGAATCTGACGAATGGTGAATATGTGGTCGATGCAGCCACGACCAGGCCTGAAGCCAGCTTGAGTCTCTCGTGTTTGCAGTTCACGAGCCTTAGTTAGGCGTCTGATAATTATCGAAGCTAGTATTTTAGATATTATATTAGTTAAACTAATCCCTCTGTGGTTGTCACAGGATGATTTTGACCCTTTCTTATATATTGGGACGATAAGTGATTGTGACCAGTTAGATGGGATAACGTCTAACTCCCAGATCCTAGCTAAAATATTAGTCAACCTAATCGCTAAAATTGGACCACCATCCTTAAAGACCTCTGGAGCCAGTCCATCTGGACCAGCTGCCCTTCCTCGTTTCAGATTAACTATAGCCTTTTGAACTTCAGCAAGAGTTGGGGGACCTACTTCAATGTTCCATTCACACTGTCTAAGAATGGAGGGTAGTTGTAGAGTAGCTGAAGGCCAGTTGAACTGTTCTCTGAAATGTTCCGCCCATCGTTCTAAACGTCTGGACTGGGAGCAGATGAGGGTGTCGTCTTTTTCCGAAATAATCCCACTTACACTTGACTTATCAGTTCCAGTGTCTTTTATTAGTCTGTAAAGCTGTCTTGTGTTCCCTATAGTCGCCGCCTTTTCCATCTCTTTTGCTTTCATTGCCCACCACTGCTCACGGTCGTTTCTTAGACTTTTTCTTAACCTAGATCTGATTTGTTGTCGCTCTTCATCATGTTCGGAACCTGATGGGACGAGTTTGCGAGAATAGACTTTTTGTGATAGACTTTGGAGAAATCCATTGGTTCTTTGTAACCCTTTGGTTTAAATCACTGATAGATGTCACTGCTGTTTCGACAGCTGTTTGTATGGCTTTCCAAACAACAACTGGGTCAACCTCGTTTTCAGAACTACCTAATCGTGACCTCAGTTGTTCCTGGAACCTACTTTTGGTTTCCTCGCTACTCAGTTCGGTTCTAATGGGTCTTTTTACTGTGGCTTTTTTGCGTCCAGTGAGGCGCAAGCAGATGCGTGCCCGTATTAGGGCGTGGTCGGAGTCCAAGCAGGTACTCCAGAATGAGCGACAATCTTCTACCGACCCTCTCCAACGATGACTGATGGCAATATAGTCTATTTGAGTCCATCGTTGGTTTAGTGTAGGGGGTCGCCATGTTAGACGATGTCTCTCCTTATGCTTAAAGTTTGTGTTTGCTGAAAATAAGCGATTGTCTGAGCACAGTTGCAGCAGACGGTCACCATTATCTGTTCGCTGTGCTGGAATGCTAAAATATCCACCTCAATGCCTTTCTGTTTGGTTTAAGCTACCTATCTGAGCATTAAAGTCACCTGCTACGAGTACTATGTCTGAGCGTTTAGCTTTCTGAAGAAGTTCAGAAAGCTTTCTGTAAAATTCATCTTTCACATCATCTGAGCTGCAGTCAGTGGGAGCGTAGGCAGAAACGACAAAAGGCAACGACGTGTATCCCTATCCTTCCGAGTTCTTACGGAGCCGTTTAACCGAACAGCACATAGACGACTGTTGACGGGGATCCACTCTAGCAGTGCTTGTTCCGCCCTCATGCTTAGTGCTATGCCTACACCTGCCAGTCCACGAGAACTGGCCATCGGGTCATCAGATACACGGAGGGTGTATCTCGTTGGCTCTCCGTTTTGCCGAGGTGAGGTCAAGTGAATGACCACACTGGAATCCTGTATGCGTGTTTCGGAGACACAGCATACATCGATGGAAAGAGACTCTAGGGTTTTAGCCAAGGAAGCCTGCTGACCGATTTGACATAGAGTGCGTACGTTGAAGGCTCCAATGTGTAGTTTGGAGCGAGGTTTCAGTAGACCTGGGACAGGGTTTTGAGCACTAGAATCGTTGGCTATGGTGACACTTGAGGAGGAAGCCGAAAAAGGAAGTTTAGAGTGGAAAGTCGATGTAGGAGGAATAATAGGAATTGAAGAAACAGGTTGATTATGAATACAGTGGTCTCGAGTGCTGTTAGAGGTATGAGGGCGGTTATCACTTCCCGGTTGCCCACACCGAGGAAGGGTTCTTCTGGAGGTACCTGAAAAGGAAATTGGATTAGAGGTGGTCTCAGTGACCTGAGAGCGTGACCGCAGTGCCCAAGGGACAACTGCTTGAGGCCGGTCGCGCACGGCCTTTTCGTGGGAGGTTTTTGATGTGTTAGCTCCGTTCTTCAAAGGGCCTTACCGCTGGAGACGGAAATCCATGAGGTAAGGTGAGGTGTGCATTTTTAGGGTCGACCTTTTCTAACCCCACCCCTCCTTGTGGGAAGGCAGCATCGCTGTCATGCTGGTTGTCTGAAGGAAACACCTTACTGCTATCACACCTCTGTACAGTCAGCAGTACGACTTCGCCTTCGGACCTTGGGTTTGTTGCTTTTAGTCTTACCGCTCTTCAACCGACCTGTCTGACATGGTAGGACCTTGAGGAACGGTTGTTCCAGCCAGTATAGCTCGGTTGCTTCATCACGATAGGCAAGCCCGACCACCACGTCAAGGTAGCAACAACGGTCGGGCTAACAATACTACCCGGTTGGCCAGAAGAAATGGATGGAGGAGTGTTCGAACTAAGGACTTAGTGACCGAAAGTTGAATGCCTTAACCACTAAACCACCGCTACACATCTTGAAGAAAATTTGTGAACCCACATACCAACCTTTATTATGTTCTCGAATAAATCCAGTGGATGAGGTTGTCGCCGTCTGATATTAAATGTTTTACAGGCCACTGCCGATCCAGCACAATTAACCAGAATATGGAGTTTTGAGAAATTTTTCTTGGCCAAATCTACAGCTTTTATTGCATCAGATTCCGAGCCAACCTGAGAAATGAAAATAATAGTAATAGTCATATATGTAACTGTATTTTGTCTAAGTAATCAAAGTTATTGCATGCACAGAACAACTTACATCTGTTTCACAATAAACACAATTACTGCCTAGTTCTGATAACACAGGAGACTTTTGTAAGTCACAAACTAACACATTACACCCTTCAGCAATTAATCTGCAAATAAAATAAAGTTGCGATTTGAAAATGCTAACTTTTTAGTTGTAGCCAGCCCAAGTCCTGATGATCCTCCGGTTACGATTGCAGATAATCCCTAGAAATTTTGATTACGAACAATCCGCCAAACTTTTAATGAGGCAAACATGATCACCCCAGATTCTACTAAGTTGATTTGTGTGAATGTATAGTTGTTTTTTCCAATTTCTAGAGAGAAAGACTCAAAATTAAGATGAGCAACAAACAAAATGGAACGTGTTAAACATAAAAACTGCTTTCAAAAAATTGGTTATCACAGAACAATAGAATAGGGACCCACTAACAAGGAGCTTCGCACAAAAATACATTGGTTCAAACTGTAAATTTATACAGCAGTGAAAGAAATATTACTCATGCCTAACTTTTCATTGAAGTTGATATTATATACCATATTGCGCTTCTTATCTTGCCATACTGGGGCGATGTACACTAACGTTGCGTCCTATATTGATAATAATTGACGACAATGGTTAAGTTGGAAGGATAAGATGATATTAAATTTACCATGTGTTAGCGGGACATAGACTGGATTAAAGAATGCTCAATGCACGATTGTTTTGGTGCACGCTGAGTGGCTAATTCTTATCCAGTCGGTACTAGTCAGTACTTGGAGAATACTCTAGAATATTCTCATGTAAAAAACTATAAATATACTAACGTTTCTCCTATTGTGCTTCTGACTTGCTCCTTGCTTCCATCTAACCTTGTTATTTGGAATATAATCTCTTTCCTGTTTAACCGTGTTCTGATTTGGGGACTTGTCGAGTGAATCGGTGTCCGAGAATACTAAGCAATAGGAATAGCTGGGTCATAACCGTAAGAAAGAGATTATAACACCATGTAAGTCCACAAACGAAAATGATTTCTCAGGATTTGATAGGTAAAAATAAGGTTAGCTGAATTGCGTCATGTGGCCTGTCCCGATGCATACGGATTCCAGATGGTAACCGGCGTCTGTCGGCACGGGATGCTTCGAGAGTGGCAGCCGCCATCCGGGAGGATGGGGATGTTATCTTTATTAGCTGGGGTTTGGAATCCCCGTCCTTCTTAGATAATCGTGCCGCTTTTTGGGCCAATATGTCAGCTTCAAGTTCAATCCACTCCAGGATATCATGGTCTGCATAATCAGTGTCTGTGTTTGTTGGAACACCTTGCACAATAACACTTCTTCCACGAAAAAACGTGGAGCAAGATTCTTTAGGGATTTTCCTGGTTAGACTGCCGTTAGAATATAGCATATCATGCAGTATCTCTATATCCCTTCCTGATTTCAACAGGTGACTGGCCAGTAGAAAGTCCTCTACATCGACACTGGTGGCGGACGTCACACGAGTTTTAGGCTATTTTGCTGTTTGGTATCCCCCACCAGAGTAATCCGTGTAACCGTTAGTGGCCCAGTTTAGGGGTTTGGGGATTCCTGTTTAGCTCTTTCTAAAGCGTCTGTCGTTTGCGTTCTGTAGACTGAGAGGAAGCTCAAATTATGAGAGAATCATCGCGAACCGTGATTGCTTTCCCGGGTTTTGAGTACATTAAGGTTAGGGTCCGTTTAATTGAGTTAGATTGCGGTCTGGCTGGTTGGAAAATCTTGGGAATATATTACACGACCGATCCATTAGCTGATTTTCTTACAATATCTGGGCTGTCCAGCATTTTTGACGGTGGCGTTTGATGCGTTTCAACACTTGACGAGGGTCTAGTCGCTTGCAGAGGAAGTTTTGAGGACCAAAGTTCCACTTGGGGAGTCCTTCCCGGGGGGCACGAGTGTACTGGAAGTCTAACACTATCGAGTTCATGAAGGTGCTGAGTTGCTCCACCTAGACTAATGTTATCTAAGACTACCGTACTGCAAGTCTGTTTGTTTATTCGTTTCGGCGCTGCCTTTTTAAGAATTGCTAACTATTCTTCCCACAGACCTGTTAAGAGAATGGCGATATTGCTCAGTAAACTCGCAACATTCCTGTTGTATGTGCCACACACCCAATTAAGACCTGACTTACCAAGTCTGTTGTGAGCAGTTACTCTAAGAATTTTGAATGCATTGCGTTTGTTCCACTGCCTGTCGCAAGTGACAGGAAAACGGCATTCAGGTCACCGTCAGGTGTAATTACTGGCCATGATAAAATAAAAGTTGTTAAGCAAATCCTAGCAACAGCTTACGACCGTGAAAAAATATGCTCAGACCTGGTAAGAGCGGATATCATTAAAAGTTAAGATATACTAAAACTAGCCTCGACGTGAAAAACCATAAAAACCGAATGGAAATTATTATTATTTGAACACATAAATATTAGTACAAGTGGGCACCAAATATACATGCGCAAATATATTTGAGGAAATATTACAACTAACCATTAACTCGGATAAGACTCAAAAAGAAAAGCGACATACAGGAAGGTAAACCCACGACAGATTTTGTGGATCAAAAACGAAACTTATGTTGCGCAAGCACAGAAAAAATTCGGGATATGTAAATCAAGATGGGTCAATACTTCTCGTTCGCAAGACTGATTATTTGATGGCTGAATAGAGGGACATGAGGCCATAAAGTATCGTGCCACTTTAGCGTTCCTAGACGTAAATTTAATCCAAGGATCACACCTTTCCATCGAAATTACATGCGGCCGGGTCTTACATATATAAAAAAAACTAACGAGGACTCACGTTATTATGTCAAAACCAGTGATACCGCCCAGTTCAAGGTCAATGAACTGAAGAGTTGAAACCAGTTTTCATATGAAAGTGTGAGACCTTATCCGGTCTTTTCACAGTTTCGCTTACAAAACTGCTTTCTGTTACGCATCCACCTGCAGGCTGTATGTCTAAGTAACCTTTAAGTATCGATATCGTATCGGATATCCTGGGGTTTCGAACCCTCTGGGCTTTAAAAAGGACATTCACTAAGTTAGATACTACCATGTTCACCACAGTATACACATCCTTAGTGAGAACTAAGCTAGAGAGCTGCGTTCAGGCTGCAAGACCCTGTTTAAAAGGTGACTCGGACATACTACAAAAAGTACATAGGGCAGCTACCCATGCGATTCCGGAACTCCGGGGTTTATCATACAAATAGAGGCTTGAAGAGCTGGACCTCTTTACTCTGTCCTATCGCAGACTAAGCGGAGATCTAATTTCGATGTACAGAATACTGATAAATGATTTCGGACCTAACTTGTTCTCTCTCTTTCTTCCCACTAGATCGGGATATCTCAGAGGACATATCAGGCGAGTAGAAAAGTCAAAAACGAACAAAATACCCATGCCATACAGATTTTCATACCGAGTCATCAATACTTAGAACCTGTTACCCGAAGCAGTGGTGTCCGCAGCTTCAAATGGCTCATTCAAGAGGAGACTGGACACTCATAGAAAAGGAATAACATAGGCCGTAGGTCTTCCGTACTTACTGCACAAATCTGAATGTGAACCTGAATCATAATCTGAATGTGATCTTGGACACTGTCCCATTTGAATGACGGACTGTGGGGGGGGGGCACAAAATATGAACTTCTGTTTGTGATTTTAATCAAGTCGAGAGCTGGTAAAGAACCATCAACATGCTATCAACCCTCATGTTTAAGGTAAATCGGCAACTAATTTGTCAGAATTATGGTCCACGCTAATCAATCAGTATAGGGTTGTTGTGAGGAAGCCGTTAATCCACTAGTTAATGTCTCGAATTCTTGTCAAATATTTGGAGTTGAGAGATTCTATGTTATTGAGGACTCGAGATCCATAATTACTTCATTATCTTACCATTCATTTTCGGATGAGAAAAGGAGACAGAAGGATTAAAAAGTAATCTACTGTTTACATCGTCCAATTCTTAAAGAACAAACCATACTAACTGTAAATGTGTTCACCATCATATTTCAAGATAACGAATTTCTATCGACAATTGTAGAAGCAGTACACATATGTCTATAAGATAGAGAATACTTGTCAAATGACATTTGGTTGTGAGCTCATAGACTAGCTAAGTTACGAGTAGTAAAACTCATGACTACTCTTGAAACGAACCTAAGCTAGCCCATTGACTTCATCAGTGGGACTTTCAAAAACCGTTGCTGATAGTGGATCGGGAAACCTCAACACAGGTTCAAGTGATTTCTTGTGTGATAATTAGAAATTGGATTTTTAGTTTGCGTTTGGAATAATGATACGCTGAAAACATCAGTTTTTGTTTGATCGTATCGAGTTAACTTTAGTCGACTCATACCTGGTGGCTTTGATTCTGGCTTGGACGTAAATTCTTTGGCTCTCGTACTTTGTTGTTCCCTAAATAAATGTACAACTATGCGTGTTGCTATTTGCACTGTTTGGTCTAGCTAGCAATTATTGGAAATAGTCGGTGTAATTGTCGAAATGAGGTTTGTAATCAGTTAGTTTTATTGAAGCGGAAAATTTGAGCGGGTTGTTGAATTATAGTCTACTTCGATATTAGTACTGCTCTAATGATATACCTAGACCTAATATTGTAGATTTGTCACGATGTAACTGTCTGATCTATTAAATCTTACGTGTGAGTCACATCATTGCCTACACTGATTAATCGTGTTATAACAGTCATCAATATATGGTGAAGAACATATTTAGGCTGAAGATAGAACAATACACTTATTATGGACAAGAAATTATGTTATATAAATGTGGTCACGCCTGCAAGGCCGAGCCATGCCATCCGATGAATTTTAAATAATCTTCCCGCCGTCTTCATCGTCGGGCTTTTCTCCATGTTATGTGTTGAATATATATTTCCCCAGTTGTGTCATGTTCAGCTTTGAGGATTATGTGGTGTGGGCCTAATGCCACTACAAGGTTATACATAGTCTTTGTAACGAACGAAATACCAGGGTTCGGTCTGAATGCGGAACTAACGAATCAAAGGTTCAGAAAGCAAACACATTAAATCAAAAGTACGAAATATCTCAAAAGTTATAGCCAGTACTATACATGTAAAGGGTTCCATAGCACAATGTGACATGCTAAACAGCAGAAGGAACAGCTAATAAATAAGAGGAGGACACTTGAGAATCACTATGTGTGGGACCAGATATCTTACTGAAAGGATTCCAGTAAGCTTTCCAAGAAAACGGTCAAAGGTTAACAAATATACACTGAAGCACGCTGTAACCCTGAGTTTAGCCAGAGACGATTCTGCTATCAATGGCCTGGCAACACAAAACAGTAGAGTTACACGATAGAGGTAAATCTTTGATCACATTCGAATAATAAAAGTGCAGACAAGGAAGACTGAAGAATATAAAGTGTGGTTTAAAGTGATCTGAGGAAAGGTAAGGATAGAAAACATGGGAAAGGAACAAATAAATGACAATACTGTGCAACAAAGCGCTTTAGAGAGACTTTCAGAGAGTACTTTCCGTTACATTGATTTTAAGAACTCCAATAGTTGAATTCAAATTCGACCCGAAAGTCACCGGCAACCACGTTGAAGATAACTAGCACGTCATAATCTTCTCACTATTCCGTTCCACGTAGGAGTGACTCGTACCATTTTTTCTCCGTTTCCCCCACATGTCTTGGTATGGCCGAGAGTGGGGTGGGTCCGCCCTACCTCTCCAAACGCTCCCACACGGTCACGCGTATACAGCCTCTGCCAGGGAAATCCTACGCACTGCCTTTTCGTCGCGGGGTTGTTGTTTTCGAAATTGAGAGGACGAAAAGCGAATGCGCGGCGCTTTAACCGGATCCCAAACCAATGGTGCACATGGGCTCCAGTATCCTGCGGGAACAAATGGCGTATGAACCAATCGTTGGTCACCAGCTACCATTGGACCGCATCTCCTTACGATGCTTCACTGCCTTGTGGGTTAGACCTTTAGGTCAAAGGCAGACCCATATTCAAGGCTCTGGTGAAGTACTACAAATTCGCTCTCCATCTGTCGCTTTGAAAAGCTTGTTTTACGTGCGTTTATCCGGGGACCATGTGGCATCTTCGTCTGGTCTTGCTGGCGTTGGTGTCGCACTAAGCGCTAGAGCTGAGGCAGCACTAGTCGATTGGATCCCCATTAACAGTCGGTTATGTGCTGTTAGATTGGAAAGTTCCATCAAAGTGAGAAGAAATCGGCGTGAGAAACGATGTCTTTTCGTCATCTCCGCCTATGCTCCGACAGATTGCAGCCCGGATGCAATCAAGGATGAGTTTTACCACCAGTTATCAGTTCTTCTCCAGAAAGTGCGTTCGACAGATATTGTAGTACTAGCCGGAGACTTGAAT